GAAAAAAAGTTGTCACGCAGCAAGCGGCGAGCTTCAGTATACACTCCCCGCTCGCCACTCGCTGCGTGACAACTTTTTTTCGGCGCGCCGCTCCACCTCTCGCTATTAGATGATGCCCTACCGTTGCCTGCCGAGTCCGATCTGCCGCCTTCTACGCTCTCATTCGCTCAGACGTTAAAATTAATTTCTCGATAACTATTGCGAATTTTGCAAAATGGTATAGGACTTTTCTATTCAGTTTGCCCCGGTCTATCTACCATCTACGGGACATACGGGCATTAGGACACACCCTGTATAGACTGCGCATTGTGGCTGCAGACGTTTGCACACCTGAGAAAGAGACAACATGCTTACGTAGTAGCTCTTTCTCTGTCTATCTATCGTTCCTCTACTCTTTTGTTTACCCCCACTACTTCATTTCGACAAAGATAAAGATACACGCGAACACCAGCTACCTCGTTCTAAAGTTGGCACATATTTTCACGCGAGTGAAGCACAGTATAACCACAGTATAAGAAAGAACAGTAGGATCACTCAGCGGCGGCACCTTTGATCTCGGTACTACGCAGCCGCCATGTTGCTGGTTGTGCGCGGGCTACCATTTGAATGACTACGTTTACACGGCGACGTTAACCTTCAAGACACAAGTTCAGCTGATGTTGGTGGCCGCCATGTTCTTAGTTGTGCAAATTGGTCATGCGCGAAGGACGACCATCCGTGCCATTTCTCACAGAGTGATCCTACTGTTCTTTCTTATACTGTGGTATAACCATTTTTTGTTTCACGTTCGCGCCGATCCGTACTGCGCATCCGACATATTTTTATTCTGACCAATCACAGGATTTTTGTACGCGTGTTAGTGCAAAGTCGGTGTGACATGGAAAAATTCGCAGTGTTGACGAATAACGCGTAAATACTTTTATACGTTGGAGCAAGTAATTACATTAATTACTTTTATTAGAACATTTTCTTTCATAGGCCACTTCTATTTACAATAAATAATGTACGCTAGTTCGTATGCGCCTTTCCTGGATACGATCCTGAAAAGGGCCCAGGCACTTAATTTTAGCCGTTGATGCACTGTTGGCGCGAATAAAAACATGGCGGAAAATTGAGAACGCCCAGGGGCTCGATTCTTTAATTCATTCGAAGAAGAAACGTATACGAAAATTCTGCTCCGACAGAAAAGTTGAAAGTCGATTGGTCAAAGCCATTCGAATAGCCAATCAACTTGCAACTTTTCTGTAAGAGCAGAATTTTCGTATACGTTTCTCCTTCGAATAGATTCAAGAATCGAGCCCCAGATCAAAGGCGCCGACAGAGAGTGCAACTACTGGTTATACTGTGAGTGAAGTAGGGAACGCGCAGTCTATATATACTATGTCTATGGTATAACCACAGTATAACGAGTATGCTCACTCTCTGGCTGCGTTCGGGGAGACGCTATTTAGCGCTATGAGCGTACTCTGTCCTTGTTCAACGTTCGCAAGTAACAAGAACAGAGCACGCTCATAGCGCTAAATAGCATCTCCCCGAACACAGCTTCTGTCGGCACCTTTGATCTGGGCGATCTGGGCGTTTCTCAATTTTCCGCTATGTTTTTATTCGCGCCAACAGTGTATCAACGGCTAAAAGTGCCTGGGCCCTTTTCAGGATCGTATCCAGGAAAGGCGCATACGAACTGGCGTACATTATTTATTGTAAATGGAAATGGCCTATGAAAGAAAATGTTCTAATAAAAGTAATTAATGTAATTACTTGCTCCAACGTATAAAAGTATTTACGCGTTATTCGTCAACACTGCAAATTTTTCTGTGTCACACCGACTTTGCACTAACCACGTACAAAAATTCTGTGATTGGTCATAATAAAAACATGTCGGATGCGCAGTACGGATCGGCGCGAACGTGAAACAATAGAGCGAGTGCCACTACTGGTTATACTGTGCCCCTACTACGAGCGCTCAATGATATCTTAATATGATTTGTCTGTTGAACGCGGCCATAGATGCCTTTCCACATGAATTTGTGCACATATCAACACATTTAAGCCCGCTGCAGACGATGCTATTTTTCCTGCTGGATTGCTTGCAATCTAATAAATTACTATCATTGCACCACTCAGCACTCAGGATTTCTAGTAATTTACTAAATCGCAAGCAATCCAACAGGAAATATAGCATCGTCTGCAGCGGGCTTTATACATTTTGCAAATACATACATATACATATGAAAAATGTGTTTTACACATGCCTTATAAATTCATGGGAAGGCAGAAGATTTGTACGTACGTTATATGTACAATTATTATTTTACATTCTCGGCTGCAATTATCAATTAATTAAGATATACGATAAATGTGGACAATTTTTTATCGAGCTCAAGCAATTCGAAGAACCGCGGAAGTGTTCTTACGAAATACTATTTTATCCACTCGCCGAGTCGCGCGACTTTACCGATCGCTCTCGGTTGTCAACGTCACGTGGTGTCACAAGTCACAATGGCGCCGTGCAGCGAGGCAATGCTGGCGATTTAACGATGCGGTCGACAGCGAAAAAGGCGAACCAACTCGATGGCAAAGCCCGCAAGAATTTGTCGATTCGTCGCGGAAATGGGCGAATTAAATTCAAAACTTCGACCTTAATTCGATCAGATTGAAGCGGTTATAACCGCAACCTTTCGTCTGCGCGGCTGCACGGCGGTTGACGTGATGGCAGAATGACAAGCACAGCTGACGAGAATACCGCGAGGAGAGCGCGTGCTGAGAGCACGTCGTCAAAGGTCCGCCCGAAACACGATCCAAACGTGAAACGACCAAGCTACTTTCGCTTAATAAATTATAGAAGAGCGAATTGGTACTCTTTTATTTCACGTGAAATTAAAAAATGCACGTATTGAGATTCAAACGTTGCGTGCTGTTTTGAAAACGGGGATAATTATAAAGAATATGAGAAAAATGTAACTTTTTTGTTAACGAAATCTGGACAATGCTGATTCGACAAAGGCACACTTGGATGCGTCGAAATTTTATTTTTGTATGAATTTTTGTTATTACTATCAGTTTATCGTAAAATGCGTATTCTTCGTATATTTCTCCGAATGAATAAGAAAACTCACACAATCGACGAGTTATTACAAATTTTTTAGCAGCTTTTTACGGACAATTTAAGCCGCGAGATTTAACGCAGATTACCTCTATACAGTAATAATACAGGGCGACGTGATGGCAGAGGATTATGGATTATGTAATTGTCGTGTTAAGACACAAATTCCCGAAATAAATACAGTCACGAGACTGTAATATTGGTCGGTCGCGATGAGCTTCATTATCGTATGACGGACGTCGTGGCACGCAGTCGAGTCCTAATTTATTTACGCGCGTTAGTCTCCGACGCACGACTCGAGACGTTAGTAGTGTTTTACCAAGTCTTTATCATTAATGTATATATGTTAAAAATAAACTAACATGTTATAAGTGAAGTACCATAAGCTTACGTTTATTGTTACACCTTATATAATATCTGTATATATTAAATATTGTAATCTTTAACGAAAATAATAATTTATGTTAATCCGTATTATTAATAATTATATACTGAAAAAAATTTTGTTTATTAATAATATCTTTTCATCCAAGATGCTTAAAGTAACGTCAGAGATATACATGGAAAACGACCACATCTCCGAGAAGCTTGGCAGCAGCAGTAAGTTGTGTTTACGAATAATATTTGGACTTGCAAGTTGCGCTTGATGCATGCCTTAACGTACTATAATTTATTTCAGATGCGGTAACCAAATTCGCCTTCAAATGCCCGTCTTATATGATCGAGGCAGAATTCGTAGCCGGGATGCTAAATTATGACAGTGATGGTGATCTAGATGTGAATAGAGACAGAGAAGGAGCAATTCTAATAGGTACACAATTGATGATCGTGTATTCTTGTATGTAAACATGTTCAGTGAATTGTATTTGCAGAGCATAGCGTCTCTACAGAGCTCGGTTTGGTCGGTTTGCAAGTGTGGAGAGCCGCTCTCCTGTTAGCCGACTATATCTTGTCGCATCCAGATTTGTTCAGAGATGAAATAATTCTAGAATTAGGATCCGGAGTTGGCCTGACCAGCATCGTAGCGAGTCACCTGGCTAAGGAAGTCATTTGCACCGGTAATATAGTACAAATACTCAAAGCGCAGACTTCTACCCAGCCAGTCAAGCCTGTAGAGAATGGATTTCAGAAAACTGTTTCCAAAATTTTGTCAACAGAAACACTACAGATTTGACACAGGCTCTGATATATCACGTAATGTCGGCAGAACGTCAACAGAAATGTAACAAAGCTTGATAACATGTTTAGACAACTTTGCAAGCAGAAATCGAGCAGATCCTGCACATGCAAAATGGCGACAGCAGAAACCGAGCAGAATCCGCTGGCGTAACTCGTCGGCAGATTGGTGACAAGAATGGAGCAAACTCTCGTGTAGTAGCGTAATGTTCCAACTAGATGCACACGCGGCATGAAACTTTCTTGTAAGAAGAAAACCGCACATGGTATTATAAACTACGCTTATACTTGGCGCGAGACACTACCGTGTCTCGTGATTAACACATCCGCATGAGATTCTTTGATTATCTTTCTGAAGTGCTTTCTTGTGCTCTTGTTTACGAGTGTGTAGAAATCTTAAAGGACTACTACTATTTCTACGCATCTTTGTAATAAAAGGAACAAAAATGGTGAAAAATATAAATTAAGAAATAGAAACGGCAGATCCTGCCCAATTTCTGCTGCTATCTGCAATCGAACCGCTCAGATCCTGCTAAGTTTTTGCCATCAAACCGCATCGCGTAGATCCTGCGTGGTTTCTACCGCCAATCTGCTGTCCCAGCATGTCAGCAGACCCTGGTGGCAGAACACAAGCTGAATGCGGACACAGACGATATCAATCTGCTGAAATGTTTTGATAAAATCCGTTGCCAGTCTGCCGACAACCTGCTATCATTTTGCTTACGGGGTATATACTACTAGACTGCTACTTTCGAGCTGAAAAGTGAGGGAAAAGTTCCACCATGTCTTGTTAGATAAATTAAGTAGTATGTGTGCATCGGTGTGCCACTGACAGACCAATGCACACATACTACTTTATTTGCCTAACAAGACATGGCGAAACTCTAGCCTCGAAGATAGCAGTCTAGGGGATGTTTTCCAGCAAGAAACACAGATTGACACAGTGTAACACAGAGAATCATTTTATCCTCATTTAACAATGGCAAACAACAGAGATAAAACGATTCACTGTGTTACACAGTGTCGCCTGTGTAAGTTGCTGGAAAGCCACCCTAGTAATAGTATATATGTATAGAAGTCTGTGACTCAAAGCCCAATTGAAAACTTCAATCTTATTTATCCGAATTACAGACATCAACGTGGGTGGTATACTGAGTCTAATTGAACGAAATTTTCTGAGAAATCGTGTGTACGTTAGATCGAATTATCACATCGAGGAGGTAAATTTTTTAAATTTGGAATGGTCGAAGAAGCTAGAGGAGAGACTGCAAAGCGCGAATGTTGTACTGGCAGCGGACGGTAAACTTAACAATTCTATGTATACTTCAACAGGTGTAAGACAGAGATAAGGAACAATGATCGTATTGTCATTCTTTTTTGAATTCGTAGTGATCTACGACGACAAAATCACGGATGGATTTGTCCGCACGTTAACAAAACTTCTACACGCAAAGACGAAAAAGACAATTTACGTCGCTCTCGAGAAGAGATACGTCTTTACTGTCGCCGACCTCGACACCACTGCCCCGATGTACGAGGAATTTTTACGTTGCGTTGAAAAGTACGAAACGAATTGGTCTATAAATTACATAAATATAGATTTCCCACACTACTTCAAATACGATAGAGTTAAACATCTGGTTTTAATGAAGATACAAAACAATGCGAGAACTGTTGCACATGCATAGCGAATACTTATTTAATTAGGTATGCGAGTAATACATTACGATAATACGTAATATATTATCGTAATTATAACATATTTATATTAATATTACAAAGAGAAAGAGAGCTTAAAGTTGCCACAGTAAGAAATCAAGATCTCTGCAGACATAGTAACAAAATATAGTATCATATAATGTAAGATGTAAAAATGAGTTATTTAAAGAGTTGTCGTGGACATTCACGTTCATCAATACATGAAACAACAAAATAGTAAAAATTTAACAGAATTTCTAAATAGAATTCAGCTCAAGGCCAGGAAATAAAAAAAGTCTAAAAAGTCTATTCCTTTTAATCCTTAGATTTACGTAGCGAATAAAAGACGACGATTAATAGAAGGAAAAACGAAGATTGTGACTCGGATTGTGATAAAAATGACAGCTATATAATATATATTTCTCACGTCCACATATTTATTTTGTCATTTAATTTCCTATTTACAACCTACCATGGATAATATTATTGGACAGTGAATTAGAAGTCGCTCGAAGAGAACGATAATTCCGTTGAATTTAAATGCTCCGGTGGCACGTCCTAAGATTAAAAAATTTTATTAGACTACTTATAATATAAAGAAGACAGTATGTATAAAGGAATGTAAGCGCTTCTTCGAACGACCACGGCAGTAGAAGTTGTATATGTTACACGCAAAATTCATAACATTTCTAATATGATATACTAGAGGTCTGAATCGCTCGCGAAAAAACGACGATCGTGAAAAAACGAGTCGAGAGTGTGCGAATGATTAATCACATTAATCTGAACTGAGTATAATTCCGTGAATTTTAAAAATATAACAACGAATCCTAATATTCGATATTTCTTAAATATCGTCGACCGCCGTTTTGCGAATTCAGGCCTGCGCTTGGTTTGGTAAAAGGCACTTTCACTCTACCGATCCGTCTCGATGTAGAAAATGTAAAGTATAGTTTACAGCCTCACAGGTTTTCTTATGCTTTTTATATATATATATGTATATCTGTAGGCGTATATACATATAGATGTGAAATTGTTATATATAATTATTATAATAAAATACATATATATACAATAATTATACAGTAATTATTGTATATAGTTATGTATATAAAATATATAATAATTATATATACATATATATATATGTATGTACATGCTAGAAATCTCAGAAATTGTAATATTGGTTATACCGCAGCACTTTTTCACCACTCAGCGTATTCCCGAAAACGATTAAATTCAGGGCGATAAAAAGTTCATAAAGTTCGGCTACGATTAATTCGCTGGTAAAGTACGCGCTTTGAGATATAAAAGAATAATCTATCGGATGTAAAAAGACGTCTCGAGATCGCGAGTTGCCTCGTAAGCAGAACGTAGAACTAGAAATTCCTTCTCACGTTTTAATCGCGCCGAAGTTACATCCGAAAAATAATTTTCAAATCCTGAGATCGTTTATTCTCCGTTTTTCTGTTACAATAAAAACTTGCGCGTGATAGCATAATTTTGCATTACTTCTGGAATAGCTGCTCCTAGATCGTTACACGAGTTTCACAGATCAATTGTGTAGATACACCAGAATTTATCGGAAATGTAAATAAAAGCTTTAAGAAACGTGAAATCATAAAAAAACGCCACTGACTAGAAAAAAAAGAAATAAAGAATAAGTATGATAAAATTTGCTGATTGCTTCGTGCTTTATTGTTCGCGATCGGAATCATCGACACAGAGGCGAGCAGAATAAACTCGTTCGCCAGACATTCTCTTCCCTCTTTTCAATTTTTAATAATCGCATAAGCTTTAAATTAAATCTCAAAAATCGTTCTAACAGCTAAAACAATTATCCGGTTTATTTAATAAATGTCAATTGCATAATAATCTATATTACTTGCAACAAATACTGTACAAAAAAGAAGATGCAATTTGCATTAAAAACGCGCGAAATCGATCTTACTACTACTGATAAGTAGCTACTGGTAGCTACCTCCGTTCGGGGACGGTTTCTGGCTAGCAGATGCGGCGACTTTCTTGTTGTTTGTCGCCAGTATCGCGTCCAGGACCAATTTTCACCGGTGGTACTCGATGGTACTCGCGCTTTCACCGGCTTGCATTGACAACCGGTGGAACAGGATCGCGTTGCGCTGCTGATTCTCGTCACTTGCACTACAGAGTTTGTACTTTTGCCAATAGATCGCTCGACCGTTGATCTGCTCGACAGCATGCTTGTACCTTCTGTTTGGTTACACCATTGGGCATAATCTTGCTCGCGATGCATCGCGTCGCAGAAGATTGCACTACCGAAAAGCGATGGGAAGGCGGGTTTCGCACCAACAATGGAATCCCGCGTCGAACTGTTGTGAGCGACAGTCTTGCTCCTCGACAACGATGGCAACGTTGCACGTTGTCATTTATGTTGACTTTCGCGCTTACGTACTGACATTGTGTATATTGTTGTGCATCTCCCGCTTGATATTCTGCGAGTTGGGCGAGCCTAATGGCATGGAGGCGGTTGTCGTCTTTCGTCTGGCGTTCGACGACGAGCTCGAGGAACCGTCATTGCCAAAGTTGATCTTAACGCCCGTCATACCGCCAGCTTTGGATGTGTCGTGTATCAGTTGCGCATGTGCACCCGTAGTCCCCCAATGCTCCACCTGAGCTTCGTGTGATTTTTGCAACACTTTACGCACGTCCCCATTCTCTCCGCCCTCCTTCATGATTTCTTGCAGCTTCTGTATAGTCTGGTACAGTATCACCGGACTGATTAGCCCAAAATCAAACAGACTGCACATGTGCAATACGAAGTTGCGATAAAGATTTTTCATGAGCAACTCCTTCCCCTTATTCTCTAAGAACATTTGGCAAGCTAGTGGTATCTGGCAGTCTCCTACGTATCCGTGCTTCATCACATGGAGGTTCCACATCTTCATTAGCTCCTTCTCGCCCTCATTCACATCCGTAAAGTCGTCTATCATCATCATTGTCTTTGTTTGCAGCCACTTAGGGTCGTTCTCACCCTCGGAATCGATATCCATCTCTTTGGGGTATATAGGTAGACAGGTGACGGTATGGTGATACAGTCTAAAGGATGTATACATGTCCAGTTTATAATGTAAAAATGCAAAAGACTTTATAATAAAATTGTGACGACTCGTGCCGTAACACTTACCTGTTGTGGCCAGTGATATAAGGCCTCTGACTCTCAAACTCATTCTCATCGAGTTCCAGAAACTCTGAGAGGCTTGGTTTCGTTCTCTTCGGACGGCACACCAGGATATTCGTCACGCTCGTACGTCTGGTTGGTCCTGTCCTTGAAAAAGGTACGCTAGACGGTTGTGAAATTAATTCGTGAGGACTACCTGCATACGAACCATCATAGCATTCGTTTATTGCTACGTCAATTCGGGCACCTTGTGGAATTGGCTGGAAAAAGAGAGGCATTCACAATTAATGTCACAGCGTGGAGAAAAGAATCTCTTAAATTTTTTTATCCAATTATCCCAATTTATTTTATACAATCAAATTAATTGCTTGTTTCTCTTCATCAGTCATCATATATCCATGGTATCAATGAAAAATATCGTAGTTGCAAAATCTTTCACAAACATTATATGTATTTATATCTGTGAGGTTTCATGAAACAATCAGATAGAATCCAGAGATACAGTATTTCGGTAAAGGCTGGCAATCTCTCGTAAACATGTACTTCTGTAGCGAGATATTTGTCTTTAAAGTTAAAATTCTCAAGTATTATTCTTAAGTAACTTTTATAATATATCACTCTTCAGATCTTAATAAGTTGTAATAATTATTTTTATATTTAGTAAAAATCTTTAAGGAGAATGATTGCTCAAATAAAAATGAACTGAAATTTATAGAAAAAAATATATAAATAATTATATATATACATATATGTTAAAAATGATAAGAATTTTATAAAAATAAGTGCAAATAATTCTATACATATTTACGAGGAATTTTGACGAATACTAAAATGACTTGTCTACTTAGTTGTCAAGAACATATATGTATATATATGTAGATATATATGTATACATTATCAAAATTCTTCGTAAATATGTATAGAATTATTTGCACTTATTTTTATAAAATTCTTATCATTTTTAACATGCTTTCGAGAATTAAATTACAGATATCGTAATACTTTGCTATGTTGGCCATGTGCAATAGTACAACTTTAATAATTAATTATTGGACAACCATGCAGACAATCGTCTTAAACTTTTGCATGGAGGACAGATTCCCATAGACGAATATTTTCTATAAATTTGAATTTATTTTTATCATCTTTATTTCAGCAACCATCCTCCTTAAAACAATGTGATAGATTTCTTAATACCACGTCGAAAGAACGGACCACTTTTGACCCTTCTACCTTTTAGTCGGCACGTTTTTTAAATTTCACATTTTTTTAGATACTCCACTTTTTAGAAAAAAAGATCTTGCTTCACCTCGTAAAAGGTGACAGTTTTCGAGAAAAACTCATTTAAATGATATAAAGTAAATTTTTATTTACTTTACATGCCTCGATGGTCGAATTGGTGAGACATCTGTCTTGGCTCTTATATCCTTTATTCCTTCGAATTGTAATTTTATGTTAAAACGTTATGAATTTTTTACAATGAAAACGCCTTTTATTTTTTAAGGACCTGGCACAGATGGAGGTGGCCACTTGAATCATCATGTGAGTCCGTATACGGTATTTATTCCATCCTGTCCTGTGCACTGTTACAAACATACACAGGTTTTTCCCTTTAGATGGAATCATTGTCTTCAGTGAATTTACGTATTATAATATCGCACAGCGATTTTTCTAAATTTATCTTTATAAATGCTGTACATACACGCAGTCAGATAGCGTTCCTTAAAAATAATATACCAGAATAATATTATCACAGCCTCAGTGGTCGAGTTGGCTAAGACACCCGTCACGGATTGAGGGAAGTCCCAAGTTCGAATCCTGGCTAAGGTAATATTTTTCGCAATAAGAATTTTAATTCTCAATATGGGGGGAGGAGGGGGTTATCGTATAATAAATGCTATGTACAGCATTTATAAAGAACCCCGCACTAATCATATAGGAAATTGGATCTCAATTAAATTGGCTAGTTTTCACAAATGTTGTAGCTTATGACCTGCTGAACAAAAAATGTAATGGGCTGAAACTTAAATAATGGCTAGTTACTGGGCTACAGCCAGTCGAACATAGAAAAATTTGGGCTCCGTGGGTTTTGTTTGGAAATACCTTAAAGCATATTAGGAAAAGATGTTTCAGACAAAAGTTGTTTGGTTCGAAGGGAGACATAAGACGATGCCATTAATTTGACCTTGGATAATCATTTGAAGGTCACACGAAGGTCAATTTCAATTTCTTAAATGGACACACCCATTTTTCATTGCACATTTTTATGTCAAGAGTTTTTCAAAGACACTATATAATGAAATATAGTCTTATTTCGAACCAAACAACTTTTGTCTGAAACATTTTTTCCTAATATGCTTCAAAGTATTTTCAAACAAGACCCGCGGAGTCTAAATTTTCCATGTTTGACTGGCTGTAGCTCAGTAACTAGCTATTATTTAAGTTTGAGCCCATTATATATTTTGTTCAGCAGATCATAAGCTACAACATATGTGAAAACTAGCCAATTTAACCGAGATCCTATATAATTAGTGCGGCGGTTCTTTAGAAAAATCGCTGTGCGATATTATAACACGTGAATTCACTGAAGACAATGATTCCATTTAAAGGGAAAACACCTGTGTATATCTGTTTGTAACGGTGCACAGGACAGGATGGAATAAATACGGTATACGGATTCACATGATAATTCAAATGACCACCTCCGTCTGTGCTAGGTCCTTAAAAAATAAAAGGCGTTTTTATTGTAATTTGATTTATATCTTGAAAGGACCGAGTTGAAAATTTAGTTGTTATGAATTTTATTGTTTACTCACTTTTATTTTTCAAAATTTATTTAAATAATATCAAATTAATTATGTAAAAACTTATGATAATAAGCATTTAATTATTATGTAACTTTCAATAACTATTATTTAACGGTGATCAGAAATTTTAACTTTAAGGATAAATACAGTAAAGCATTATAAAAAAAAACATTTTTAGGGACTTGTGGAGTCATTTTTACCTACTCTACATATTCACAATAGATTGCCAGCCTTTACCGGAACATCCTGTATATCGCTGAAGATTTTGTTCGTTGCTTAGAAATTATAATTATTATTGTCTAAGAAGTATCTACAAATACTTCTTGAAAAAGTCACTGATAAAAAAAACCTTAAGAATAATAATTCTCTAAAAATATCAAAAAATGTGCAATACACTTCTCATCGATGCTGAATGCAAATTTCGTGTGGATAAATGAACAAAGTAAACTCATTACAAATAATGTGAATGTGCGTGCTTACCACGTATGTGAATGTGAATCGCGAATGACACAACTTCAAATGCTTTAGAAGCGAGTACAGTTTGCCGCAGTCCAACGAGCACCAGGGGCAGTGTAGGTCTTCGCAGGCCTCCGTCTGCTGCCGGCTGTTATTGTTGTACAAAAATTGATAGACTATCTGCTGAGTTCCATTGGCGTCCACCTTCTCGTTGGAGATGCTTATTCTCGACGAGGGCGTCAGCGGACTAGGCGTTGGCAGTGTTGCGTTATTATTATTATTTGTGCTATTGTTATTGTGATTTACGGAAGAGGAACGTTCGAAACCAGCTGGAAAGAGAATGTTTAAACGTTTAAAGCGAGGTTTTCGCGTCATGTGACGCGTATATCGCACCAGTCATCTCATTCGCATAATAATCACGAGAACTGACCGTTGGTCGATCGATTCTCTTTATTGTCACCGCTTGGTATCGGAGGTATCGGCAGCGGTCTATCGACTAGACCGTTGCTCGGTTCCGTCGTCCAACTGAGGCGGAATTTTAACGTCGGTCCTTGCCTGAACAAGTCGAACGGTTCGCAGTCTTTGATGTCGGCCACAGTTTCCCAAGAGCTGTGTTTCTTAGGACTGGACCTAACATTGGTCTGTACTTCCTGCAAACCTAACTCATACTCGCCGTCCGTCAGCAGGCATCGATTGTGCTTGTCGTACACAGTAAGCTCCGAGCCGTACTGTTTCACTTCTTCGCCATTCACTTTTATCGTACCCATGGACGATTTACGACGCTTTTGAGCTGGTTCTGCAAGACACATAGCCTGTAATATGTTCCCCGCCAATTGTGCCAACTCTTATCTTTACCTTCTAAATCACAGTTAGTTATAAGGCAGCCATTGTTAGACATGCAGTAAACCCTGAGCAAAAGCATATAAGTCTTCGCTATGTGACCATTATTTAAGCTGAAGGATTCATTGGGTATGGAAATTGTAGGTGCCTTCGGTGGAGGCTGACTCTCGGAAGGATTGATTGGGACCTCGCTCGTACCGACTGAAACCTAAACAAATGCATATCTTAATCGAGAGTCGATCCGATGGAAAACCTAAATCTCTTTCTTTTTTTGTTTACTATAAATTTTCAGTCTAACAGGTATCAAACTTACTTGCATGATAGGCGAGCTAACGTCTTTTCTTTTCTTGTGGCAGATTTTCAACAACAATGTTTCCACTTTGACAGGCTCTTGCGACACTTCAACTACAATAACACATTACAACTTTAAGGAGTACATGATTATTACGTGAGATGTCAAGTCGCCGAATATCGTTAAAATATTTTCAGATACACATAGGAGAAAAAGGTTGCTTAATTGAGACGTACCTCTTTTATCGTAAAATCCTAAAAACGTAAGAGTCATGTATCCGCGAACGCCGAGATTCTGTTCGTGCTTCTTTTTCGCTATTAATTTGTCCAGAATTGTGTCGACCTTAAATTCTCGTCGTGACTTGTGACTTCTGGACATACGTTGCCGCATATACGTTAAGTTTCTATATAGAAATATTGGCTAAAAAGAAATGTTCAATTTTAATGTACACTTGTCAACTAGGGAAAATGAATAGTTTGTGCCTCTTAGGTAATTTCAATATTTATAACTTATATTAAAATTGTATACCTACCATATCATACAAATTTTACGTACATACATTTTGAAAAGCGTAACGAAAAGATATACGATCGAGGCAATATTTTCAACCGAGGAGGAATACGAATCTTAACTTACCTTCATCAAATGCTTGCAACGTTATGACTATTTACTTTTGTATATCTCGTTACGTTAGAAACTATTGATACACCATATTTTACGAAATTATACACGTATACGACAAAAAAGAACAAAATACAATTAACGCTTTGAGTACAACGCAAATTAAAGTCACGAGCACACCAAGGAACAGAAAGAAGGCATTGTCTACTCACTGAGATTTGGTTTCTTGTGCGGAGGAACCGGTAAATTTGAGTTGGTTCTGAAAAAAATAAGATACCAAAGTTACAAATCAAACATTCAAGACGTTAGAATAAGTTGAAACAATAGTTACATATGTAAAAATTTGCGAACATGACCACGCGCTTTTCTTAAAATTATATTTTTTCGATGTTTTTTGAAACATTCTAAATTAATTGGCAATAAAAACTAGAAAACATTTTTTTCATGAAAACAAAAGGCTTCCACCAAGAGGAAGCAAAATTACGCATCAGTACGTAAATTTATGTACTGTCACAATAAAAGGCAAGTAATGTTTTTATTTTTCCACTTTAAATATGCGATTTCATATTGTTTTATTCTAAGTTAAGTATATTATTTTAGCGAACTCATCTTATTTAAACGTAGAAATCATTTTAAGTTGCCAGTAATAAATAATAATCAAGCATTTTAGTCGACATTAACCGGCCAATGTTTTAATACAGACAATTTATTGCGAAAAATATTACCTCCGCCAAGGTTTGAACCTGGACTTCCCTACTTTCTAGGCGGGCATCTCACCAATTTGACCACTGAGGCATGTCAGAGTAGAGAAGTCCAGGTTCAAACCTTGGCTGAGGTAATATTTTTCGCAATAAATTGTCTGTATTAAAACATTGGCCGGTTAATGTCGACTAAAATGCTTGATTATTGTTATTTACTTTGATTCTCATGACCTTGGCTTGCTGTGGTTTTTTTTGTTCTAATTTTTCTCCGACAATTTTTACACCAGTATTGTCACTCATGTATATGAGTTAAACGCAGGGTTGAGAAAGTTACTTTATAAAAGTATCTAGTTACAGTTTTTTTTGCTAAAATGTAACTAGTTATAGTTACAAGTTACCAATTCTGAAAAGTAACGCGTTACAGTTACAGTTATTAAAAAAGTAACGAATCGTTACTTTGCAGTTACTTTCTTGCAATGAAAATAAAAATATCAAATCCGTATTTGAATTGTAAAGTGTCGATAATGGCGTTCATGCACAAATGTAAGGCCTAATGCAATCTGTGGAGGTTTAAAGTGTATATAAAGTAACTATTAATATAACTATTAAATTAGTTACTAGTTATTGAAAAATGTAACTTAGTTAAGTTAGAGTTACAAAAAAGTTACTGTAATTGTAACTGTAACCTCGTTACAAGTAACAAGTTACTTCTCAACCCTGGTTAAATGCACTATTTGTAAATTTATTTTCTATAATTTATTATACATTTTTCAATTTGGACAGAGTGTACAACAAACAAAGGGAATAAACAAACAAGTAAAAAGTAATTTACATCGTAATGTAATCAATAAATAACGAAGAAAAATAGAATATACAGATAATTAAATTTAAAAATAATCGATCCATAGTAGTTAATATCTATCTTTTCGATTTTGGAAAAATTAATCAAGCTTTTAACTTAGCAGTTTTATGTACATTTGCTTCTGTCAGTGAAATAAAAGTTTATTCACGTCCATATCGTTAGTACGGGTTAGTGTCTCCAGATGGCCGCGAGGTTGATCCATTTTCTCGAGTTTAGAAAACGTTTCGTAGGGTATAAAAGCAGCCAGAGTACGACAAGAAGGCGATCCTTCATTCAGGTATCAAAATGGGAAGTGATGACTGGGTTTAAGCTCAAGATTATTTGAGACTCCTGCGACCCGTAATTGTTACGACTATGCAGGCTAAACCTCTCTGATCCCACATTTTTTTTCACTCTTGTAAAATTAACAGCTCGAAAATTTCTTACGAGTGGCTCGTAAGAGCGAAGTTCACACGTATGTACATTTGTTATTTTTGTTCATAAAATCTTGTCTCTCCGCAATACGATTAATCCAAATAAAGTATTTAGTTCGCGTCGTAGAGGACCTTCTTCGATTTGTAAATCATGTAAAAAAGTTTCAGCCTCTTTTCTTCTTTTTATATTTCTCGCGGAAGGAATGGATGTATATGGCATGAGGTCTTCCCCGCTGCGCCAGGAGTCGCGGTGCGCGCGCGGTCCAAGAGGCGAGCACGATGACAGGTGTCGTAGCGTTCTGGTAGCGGCGGAGGGCGCGGAGAGAGTGAACCGACGCGCGCCAAGGCGGACGCTCCAGTTGACTCGCGGTGGATAGGGTTAGGTCCGGTCGGGGACGGCGGCGGCGATACAACGACGGGCATTCCGACGTTCGCGGGGGCGTCGCGTGCGATCCACGGCTAGCTCGCCCGGGGGGTATCGACGCGGGGGTGACCGGAGACGAGGTTGTGGGCTGTTTATCGCGATGGGCGACGCGCGCCGCCGATAGGCGGCAAGAAGGTAAAAAGCCCGCACGGGAGAAGGCCACGGTGTTTTTTTCACTTACTTTCGAAGGCCTGCAGAAACAGCTCGTGGTCGGCCTGGATTTGATCAATACGAGGTCCCTTCTGCCCATCGAGATCCTTCTCCCGCTTCTTCGGCGGCATTTTCGCGCGGTCCTCCGTGCACGACAAGCTTCCCCCCGCGATAACTCCAACTTCTCTCTCTCTCGGTTGCGCGAAAGTTGCGACGCGACAACGACAACACCCGCCCCGCGCGAAACCTGCGGCGCTGCGGCGCTTCGGTGGCCCCCACCTCCCTATCAGAAACGACTAACGCGCTCCCTCGCGGCGCGCCATATTTCCGTAGACCATAGCCAAGAAGACTAGAGACCAGGGGCTCGATTCTTGAAACTATTCGAAGGAGAAACGTGTACGAAAATTCTGCTCTTACAGAAAAGTTGCAAGTTGATTGGCTATTCGAATAGCTTTGACCAATCGACTTCCAACTTTTCTGTCGGAGCAGAATTTTCGTATACGTTTCTTCTTCGAATGAATTCAAGAATCGAGCCCCAGGGGCTCGATTCTTGAATTTGTTTGAAGGAGAAACGTGTGCGATAATTCTGCTCTTAGGGTACTATTACATTTGTCGTACGACAAA